GCGGATCTCTGTGAGTTCGAGGCCAGCCTGGGCTACCAAGTGAGCTCCAGGAAAGGCGCAAAGCTACACAGAGAAACCCTGTCTCGAAAAACAAAAAAAAAAACAAAAAACATGCAGTTTGCTGGCTTAAGTGTGCTCACATTGCTTTGCAATATTTTATTTTTTAGCTTTTTGAGGGTCTCTATAGATATATATTTTTGGCTGGCTTAGACTTCACTATGCAGACCAGGCTGGCCTTGAACTTGTAGCCATCCTCCTGACTCTGAGTGCTAGGGTCACAGGTATATGCCACACTGGGTGGTGGAGGCACATGCCTTAATCCCAGCACTTGGATGTCAGAGGCAGCCTGGTCTACAAAGTGAGTTCCAAGGTAGCCAGGGCTACACAAACCCTGTCTGGAGAAATGAAAAACAAAAACCCAGCTATATGCCACAATATATCCAAACAGGATAGTTTGTAAACTACCTGGTACCTCTCTTTCACACATAAATTTATTGTGTATACAAAAGGTAAGCTCTCAAATTGGGAGACTTCAATGGCAAGAAGCCCAGTCTCTCCTAGTTCAATTTTTTTTACTATTAAATAACATTTTTATTTTTAAGTGTGTATGTGCACATATTTGCCATGTGTAAGGGCGGAGGTCAGAGGAAAACCTGCAGAGAAGGTTCTTTCCTTCACACGAGTCTTGGGAATTGAACTCAGGTCATCAGGCTTGGCAGCAAGTACTTTACCCCCGAACCATCTCATTGGTCCTCATTTTTTTTAGCTATGTATTTATTTTGAGACAGTGTCTCACTGTGTAGCTCTGACTGGCTCGAACTCAAAGGTCCTGCTACCTCTGCCTCCTGAGTTCTGGAGCTGATGGCACGTGCCATGGCACCCATCTAGAGGCTGGGTGCTTGATTCTGCTTCTACCATGTGAACTTGGGACTCTTAGGCCTGAAAGCCATTTTGCTGCCCCCCTTTCTCCTACTTTACTATCTATCATTTTAGCAGCAGTAGTGAAAGGCACATAGTGGGTTAAAGGGTAGGGCCTGCAAGAGGCCACTGCTTGGGTTCAAACCCTACCTCAGCCATATACTTTGTGTGGTCTTGGACAAGTGACCTTATTTCTGAAGACCCCAATCTCCTCAACTATGTGTCCATCACAGAGGCTCGTTAGGTGGGATTCAGAGGAGAGCCCAGGTAGACTTGAAGCAAACACTCAAGGTCAGGGAGGAGGGATTCTGACAACGGAACCCACTAGCATTTCTACAACGAGAAGGACACCTTCAAAAGTGACCCAGGCCTGAGGAAGCTCATTTCTCTACAACAGGCAGGATGTCCATGGTGAACAAAACAACTAAAAACTCATCAGGAGAGCTTCTGGTGAGACATGGGAAGTAATACACAGAGGTTCAAAAGTGTTGTTAGTGGTTTTTCAGACTAACCCGGGTTAAGTCACATACCCAAAAATAAGACAGCAGGGTCTTTTCCTAACTGCTAGAAAAATTGGTAAACTGTCAAAATTTTGTTCAATTTAGTTTTCCTCTCTACCTACTTGCCTTCAATTTTGGATTTATTACTGCCTTCTGGTCACTTAGTAGAATAGACAGATGCCCAGAGGGATGCAGAAACAGGAACCAAGAAGGCAAGGAAACGGGGTATGTTGGCTCATGCCTTCAATCCTAGCACTAGAGAGGCTGAGGCAGGAAGATGGTAAGCTCAAGGCTGGCCTGCACATGAGACCCTAAAAGCAAAACTCTCAACACAAAACCAACCAACAAAACACATCAAGAAAATAGAGATCCAAGTCACTGGTAGTGGCCTACACCTTTAATCCCAGGCAGACAGATCTCTGAGTTGGAGGGTAGCCTAGTCTATAGAGTGAGTTCCAGAACAGCCAGGGCTACACAGAGAAACCCTGTCTCAAAAACACCAGCACCAACAAAAACTAAACAGCAGCAGCAACAAGAAAAGAAAACAGAGATCCAAGGAGATTAGACGCCTTGTCTTTTCATGGACAAGTGTTGCACAGGGTCATGGTTCATGTTCTGTTCCACAGCATGAAAATGTTAAAGCTCAAAACAATCCAACACTGCCCTTACTGTATATGTGAAATAAAGTTGGTTAACATTTCCTGAAGCCTTGCCGAGAGCTCTGCCCTACCCACCAGGTAGGTTTTCAGAATCTGTCTCCTTCAAGACCTTGAATCAATGGCTATTATTTAAAAAGCACTGGATCTTACAGAGCAGAGCCAGGACCTGGGGACACCCCCGCCACCACCTTCCCACACGCCTCCACCTACCTGTGCTGAGATAATAGAGGTGTGCTACATATTGGGTTTTGGGTTCTTTCTTTCTTTTCTTTTCTTTTTTTTTTTTTTTGGTTTTTCGAGACAGGGTTTCTCTGTGTAGCTTTGCACCTTTCCTGGATCTTGCTCTGTTTTTTAATTATATTTTTATTTTGTTTGTGCATGGGCACATGCCTGCAGCCTGTGTATGGATGTCTGAAGGCGACTTTCGGGAGCCAGTTCCACCTTGTGGATTCTGGGGACGAAACAAGGGTTGTCAGACTTTGCTGGTGAGTGCCTCTACCCACTGAACCATCTTGCTGACCCTCCTTGTTTCTAAGAAAAATCTTAGTATGGCTTGCTTACTATTACATTGTGCTGTGTTAAACTTTTGGTGTATCTTGATGTTTTGTGTTTTATTTCTCTGCATGTTCTCATAAGCAAAGGTCTGGGCTGTTGAGATGGCTCAGAGGCTAAAGGCACTGCTATACAAGCCTGGTGACCTGAGTTCAACCCTCAGAACCAACTCCGCAAAGTTGTCCTGTGACCTCCACTTGCGCCTAGCGGCCTAGGAAACTCCCTGACCCCAATCACACACATAAATGAATACAATTTTAAAAACTGTTTTAAAGCAAGAGTCTATCTACATAAGAATTAAGGAACTAGAGGGGTCACTTAGTGGTGTGGAAACTTACCCATAATAATGTCCTCTAAACACCCAACCACAGCATCAAATTCTGCATCAGAGGCGGAGGAGCTAAAAACACATCAGGATTAGGTGCTGGTCCAAATAATTATTTTACAAGTCGTATTTATGTTTTCTGTGGGGATGGGGATTGTACACAAGGCCTTGTGCATCACGGGCAATCACAACAACAAAGCCCATGACCTTTTTTAATGTAAATTTTCCAATGCGCATAAAAAGAGTCGCAAGATGAACCACCCATCACTCAGTTTCAGCAGCCAAGGATTACCGTCTAGCTCAGAAACTTCAAATACAGGAAAAACACCCGTGACCAAACCCTAGGTATGGCAATCACCAAAGACACAAACAATACGGGGAGGTGAGACTGGCGTGGCACATCTTTAGACTCCCGCATTTATTACCCACGGGGATCTACTCACCGCATCCTGGCTCTTAGGCCAGAGAGGTCTATCTGTTTGGTGGTGAGTGTGACCACCGGAGGAGCACCGGCCTAGAGGGTAGGTAACTGGATCAGGAGTGGCCTGAGACGGGCGGTAAGGCCGCCGCCAGTCCTGGCAGCTCAAGGCCCTAGGTTTTGTTGACGGCCAAGATTCAGGCCGGAGGATTGTGACGGAAGCGCAGGTAATCGGTGACACAGCCCCGCGGAGGCCGCGGGTAAGAAACGCCCGGCTAGAGCGGAGCCCCAGCCCCGGCCGGCCCGCCCGCCCGCCCGCGCCCACCCCGGAGGCGTCACTCACAAGGACAGCGCGAAGCTCTCTTCTT